TATTCCGGGCGAGTGCATACTGCTTCAACCTTGAATTCATTGCTAGGCGTGCGTCCCCTGGACCCTCAACGCTACGAAGAAAAAAAAAAGTATGTATGTATATATACACACACACATAGACACATTACATAAGGGGTTTAGGGTTTAGGCTCAAAAAACAGCAATTGCAGTGGGAGACTTTAGGTAACTCTGAACCGACAACCCGACAACGTGCGGCGAGCCTGCCCCTTTCAGGCCCTCGGAAAAGCTACAGGTTTTGGGCTTAGGGTTTAGGGTTTAGGGTTTAGGTTTAGGGTTTAGGGTTCAGGGTTGAGGGTTTAGGGTTCAGGCCTTTGAGTGTTGGGCGGCAAGAGTCAAAGTTTCGCCATTGGTTTGCAAGCCTAAGGGGTCCGTGTCCCCAAATAGCTCAGACTTTGGCCGCAACGTCGTCTCTCTTGTGGGTACTTTGGGGCCAAGGTATATACTAGTTGGGTACATGGACTGCTGCATTAGGGGGATGGAGTGAGCATTTAGGTCCAGGGTTTGGGGTTAAGCGGGTTTTGGAGTCAAGTTTTCGGACTCCGGGATCAGGGAGAGCTTCGGACCTCAGGAACCCTAAACTCTAAACCCTAAGCCGTAAACCCTAAACCCTAAACCCTAAACCCTAAACCCCAAAACCTAAAACGTAAACCCTAAACCCTAAACCCTAAACCGAAAGCCCTAAGCCCGACATGAAGACAGAACGACTTCAGGCCGCTGTCGAAATTTCTGAACCGGTTGAAACAACGCCATTTTTCTGTTAAGGCAACCCTAAACCCTAAACCCTAAACCGCGGGCTGTTTAGGTCTTACGGCAATCGGGTCTTCGGTGTTGTTTTGGTTTGGGGTGCCACTCCTTTGGATCAAACCCAAACTGAAGACTAACTTCTGGCCTGACATGAGTAGCAAAACTCCTGACACAAAAGGTGTATGAAGAAATCTTATATACGAGTACAACCAAGTGGAGCTGCTGTTATAGAGTCAACTGCTGTTCGTAGAAGTGCTCGAAACCCTTAAATTTGCCTGTCTCCTGGTGCGTAGGCCCACGGGTAACAGCAAAGTACTCAACGATCACAGCGCTTAGAATTCAGGGTTTAGGCATTGGGCTTGAACATGTAGCGATAACGTAGGAGCTTTCATATTTAGAATAGGGTTTGGGGGGAAATTATACTAAGAATATAATAAGGAACCCCCAACATAATATAGGTAATTAATAAGGCCCCTATATTATATCGAAAACCTGAATTCTTCAACGTTCTGGACCGAACACTCACACCACAAAGCCAGGCGCAGTTGGAATGAATATGATGAGGACACCTACGATTGCAAGGGCATTTTTGGGGTACATTCTGAGTAAGCCGCACAGATGGGAGTACAAGACAGCACACACATATTTCGGGCTGCTGATATCATCTGAATCGTTTTCCTATCTTACGGAGGCGATGGTTCACGAATAAAAACTGGCTTGCATGTGCTCAAGGTCATAGACATTCCCACAACCACTTCTTGCAATCACCGCACGTGCCATCTTCTTGCAAGACGAGCTTCTGGAACGAACTTGCTGTATGCGTTCCTTGTTTCGTCGGAGCTTCTGTTTGCATTCAGGTACATTGCATTGCTGGCTCCACCGTGCTAGAGCGAGTCTGAGGAACACATACCATGAAATGGAATGCGATAGATTTCGAATGTCAACCCTTTAACCCTTAACCCTAAACCTTAACCGTAGTAAACCCTAAACTTATAAACCCTAAACTACCCTAAACCGCTAAACCCTTAAACCCTAAAGGGGACCCATCCATGTTGTCGCCAAGCCCGAGGTTTCTTGCACTGCACCCTGCGACTGCGCAGTCCACACTTCTCCCCCACTTCGCTACTAAAGGGGCCTTCATAATTAGAATATGGTTTTGGCTGTTCCTTATTAAATTATAATCGTAATCTTAGGGGGCTGGGTACCCTAACCCAAACAAGGTTAACCTTTCAATTATGGTAGGGTTTGGGGTTTCAATTATGGTAGGAATATATAAACCCAAAGAGGTTCAAGGTTACCTGCTCAGCTGCTAAGCAATAGTTACGGCCGAAGGCCTGATACATGTCCGTATTTTAAACCATTCAAGCCCTGGGCCCAGAACCCTGGCAGACTACTACCCCCTCACGAACTGCGTTGTGCTTTAAGCATGCAACCATAGCTGTTTCAAGGGGTCCTGGGCGTAGGGCTTAATATAAGGACCTTAATGGTTAGAACCTATGGACACGGAACTTGGTCGTTCAAACCCTCATGATCTCAATATAGGGCAGCACCGGCCGAAGCGGTGCTCACGTGCCGCGGAGACTGTGTTGAAGTAAATCGTAAACCCTGCAAATTGGCAAAGCCAAAACTCTCAACCTAACCAAACCCAAGAAAAATGCAAAAAATCCCACCTCGTAAACTCTGAACCATCTGGCACTGGAACCCAACTACCAGATTGCCAGTGCTAGTAGCATGGCGATGGCCAAAGACTGCGGTGAACAGGAGGCCAAATTTGCCGGCAAGGACAGCCTCAACATGAGATTGGCTTGGTCTGCAAGCTTGTTGATTTAGAATCTACGAAGTCTAGGGTATAATTACTGCGATGGCTCAGGGCTTGGGAAGCAAGAGTTTCCGAGCAAGATGAACCGTCTGAGAGGATACCTTCATCCTAACACCCTGCAAATCTAGACGACCAGAGCCCGAAACCATCAGAAATCTAAATAATTACCTATACTATTTTTTGGGGGGGTTCCTTATTAGAGTAAAAGTATTATAAGATACCCCAAAACCCTATTCTAATTCTTAAGGCCCCTATACTAACCCCCCAGTGCCGGAAACCCAGAGGTCAAACTCTTCTGGGAAGAAGAGCACAAACTTGTACAGATCAAGCGACGCAGACGAAAAGACTAATGTAGGAACCTGATTAATAAACCCTGGGCCTTTATTGGGGTTTTCAATATGAGCCCTAATGTATTGGGGTTATAGGGCCGGGGATTCTTAATCAGGTTTCTACATTATCCGCAGGGCTTGTCAGAATGACAAGGCTAACCATGGGTCATAGCGCCAATAAGCGACATAGCAGACATAGCATACTCCCCCCTTAAGGCCGAAGCCCTAAACCCTAGGTTGCTAAGCCGTAAACCCTGAACCCTAAGCCTAAGCCCTAAACCCTGAACGCAGAGCCGGCCCCAACAAGCCCTTCGCCTTTGCAGTCGTCCGGTTTGCTACGGTTGCTGAGCTAGTGTTTGGGGCTTAACAACATTTTGGGAATAGGCTTTAGGATATTTCAAGTTACTTGCTAAACCTTAAAACCTAAACCCTAACCCCGGAATCCTACTCCCTGACCCCTACAGTAATTCCTAAACCCTAAGCATCTAAGACCTGGGGTTTAGGGATCCGGACTGGGGGGTCCATACTCAAGGAGAAGTGTCCGGGACTGGGACTCCAGAAACCTCTTGGGGTGTAGGGGTTCAGGGGTTTAGGGTTTAGGGTTTAGGGTTTAGGGTTTAGGGTTTAGGGTTTAGGGTTCAGGGGTTGGGGTGTAGGGGTTCAGTGGTTTAGGGGTTTAGGGGTTTAGGGCTCCAGGGGTGTAGAGTTCAGGGGTTTACGGCTTTCGGGCTTCACGGGTCTAGGACTCCAGGGGTGTAGGGTTCAGGGGTTTGGGGCTTCAGGGGTTTAGGGGTTTAGGGCGCCAGGGGTGCAGGGTTCAGGGGTTCAGGGTTTGGGGCTTCAGGGGTTTAGGGGTTTAGGGTTGGTCGAGGGGTTTGGGGGTCGGAACCCCCCAAAACTCCGACAAGGAACCGACGGAAACAAAAGCAATCCGCCTTGCAATCAATTTCGTATTCCTGACTCTTATGTTGGTTCTGGGAGATGAGGGAACGCGAAGATACCAAACAGTTGTTCTCATATTGTACTAGATCTTATCGTAAGTTCTATTGTTCTATTCTACTCTATCGGATTATTCGACAGATCTGATATATTGAACTATAGCTCTTTGTGATATTATAATACTATCTTAATCTAGACTCGGAAAAAGATGGATTGTCGGGGGCTTCTGTGGCGAGTTTCCGGCTTCGAGGCTCTTGGTGCAGTCTTCAGGCTTTGGGGGTGTTGGGTTTAGGGAGGTTTAGGGCTTGGGCTTTAGGGAAGTAGGTTGTTGGGGAGATTTCGGGCATCTACTTCTTACACCCTCAACCATAAACAAGTCTGGAGTCTGCCAACAATATACTATGATATAGTATAACAAACTAGCCCTAAACCCCTAATATAGGGGCCCTCATAGAAAGAATAGGGCTTGGGGTATATGATAAAAAAACTACAGTTATGATAAGGACCACCAAAATCCTATTCTGATTACTAAGGCCCCTACATTAAACCCCTGAACCCTAAAGCCCAAAACCCTTAAAAGCCCTAGACCCTAAAGGCGAAACCCTATTCTGATTATGAAGGCCCCTACATTAAACCCCTGAACCCCATGTGAAACCCCGTGTCTCCCCGCCACTCCAGAGCTCGATCAAAGAAGTTGGCATCGAAGCACCGCACCTGGCTGCGACTATTTGGGAGTTTCAGCCCTGATATAGGACCCCAACTAGTAGGATCCTTATTATAAGGACCCCAAAATAAGGGACCCGAGTTTTCTGACATTCCCATTTAGGGTTTAGGGTTTAGGGATTTCTGTTTGGGGGAGGGGTGGGGGGAGGGCCTGGTTTGGGGTCTAGGGTTTAAGGTTCAGGGCCAAGAGCCGGAAGGTTTTGCGCTGATGACAATGATCTTAGGGGTTTTGGCCTGTGGGCCTAAGAGTTCCTTTTTGGAGTGCAGGGCTTGTCCGGGGCTAGGGGCTTGAGGCTTGGGGTTTAAGATTCACTCATGGAATGCGACCACGGTTTAGGCGTTTGGGGCTTAGGGTTTATAGGGGTTAGGGTTCTACAAGACTCAACATACTAGAAGCAGCACCACTCGAAACTAGGGGTGAGGGCTTGGGTCTACAATTCCGAGATACCCAAGACCTTTGTGGGTAGTTCTCTAAAATAGGATCCCGTTTTAGGTCCCCAATATAGTACGGCACCCTTATAAAAAGGACCCCAAAATGGACCCTGATTTAGAAAACTACCCATGTCGGGAAACTACTGCTGCAATGTACGTCTTACAGAGCAGGCTCCGTCTGCGGAACTTCATTTAGCACGACCCTCTTCTGCAAGTAGGCCTTAATTGTACTGCAGAACTCAGCTTGGGATTGACAAAAAACACTAAACCCTAAACCCCAGATCCTAAACCCTAAACCCTAAATCCTAAACCCTAAACCCTAAACCCTTGGACCGGACTTCCAAACTCCTCTGACGCATCCAAGGAGCCCTTTTGGGAAGAACACAAACGGCGCGTTTTTCAGAGGCTTGGTCTGAGGTTGGGTCCTCCTTGGGGTTTAGGATTTAGGGTTAGGGTTTAGGATTTAGGTTTTTACGTTTAGGATTTAAATTAGGGGTTTAGGGGTTTAGGATTTAGGGTTTAGGGTTTAGGATTTAAGGTTTGGGGTACGGGGTGCTTGTTGAATTGTCTGTCCGGTTCGTTTCTCAACTGGCGCTACGAAGTCCGCAGCATCATACTTTTGTAGATGAGCTATGGCCTTGGGGCCGTTTCTATGTTGACCCGAAAAGGACGCAAACAACGACGAAAGCCCCCAAATCGAATCAAGCCCTAGCCAACACAAAAAGCACAGCGACGGTGTACTCATGGTAGCATCCTTGTCCCTGTCGATGCAGTCTTGATTGTGACCTCGATGCCTGTGTTTGCATTGAACATCCCTCTGCCCTTATGATAGCATGCTGCTGCGAAATCTCCAAACTCGGGAGACTTTCTGTACGTCCATGAAATCCCACTGGGGGGAACTTGACCAGTATTCCGCTGATTGTCCTGAGAAGAGGGATGGAGAACGCCAGTGGCGATGAACGATTGCTTCGTGCGCAATAGCGGTTCTGCTTCGGGTATCGCTTGCCTGAGCACGGTTACCACGACTGTGAAGTCATCGAAGTTGGGCATCGCGTGAGCTTGCTCCAAACTACCTATAGTCTCCCTTGTAGCTCCGTTTTGGGATAATTACCTTATAGAATCCTGAATATAGAGTTGGTTCAACCAAAACAAGGAACTACAATGGAGACTATAGGTAAGTTCAAAGCATTCTTGGCGCTCCCAGTCTACATCCTCGCTGAGGCTTGTAAACACTGTTTAGGGTTTAGGGGTAGAGCTCAGATGTAGTCTGCTGTCACTTGCCAGAGCCAACATGGTGAACGCAAGCCGCGTAACGGGCATGGTAAACCACGTCAGTATCGGTGCAGCGGATTGCACCGGTTGGTTGGCTTTGTGGCGCAAGTCTCGAAGCACTGCGTTGCAAGCGTTTCCAGCGGCCAGGATGGTTTGACCTTGCCCTGGGTCTTGTCGACCGAGGCAAAGAGACCGTGTGCGAGCAATTGATCTGGCTCAAGATTCTTGGTGACCTTATTGTAGGGGCCTTAAAAATTTTGCTATATTATTTTGGGGGTTCCTTATTATAGTTGTAGTGGGCCCCAAAACACTATTCTAATTCTTAAGGCCCCTATATTATCTCCCGCCTCGATCAACTCCTTTTGCAAAACTCGCAGCTGCTGCACGCATGATTCTTCGGGGAAGTCCGCTCTGATTGCAGAACTTACGTCGACGAACCTCATTAACACCTGAGGCTTCAACGGCTGGGGATTTAGAGCACATTACGTTCTGTTGTGACATATTGCACCATATTGGACTAAACTAAACTGTGTCATGATGTAATATAGGGCCTTAATAATTGGAATAGGGTTTGGGGTCCTGTATACTAGAATTATAATATGGAACCCCAAAATAGTATAGGTAATTAATTATCAAGGCCCCTATATCCAGCAAGCTGTATCACATTGTATACTACCCAAGCCTTAGATCAAGCTAATTTCTGGGTTTCCGAAAATAGGGAACCCTAATATGGTACCCCAAATAGTATAGGATCCTTTGTGATAAGGACCCCAAAATGAGGTACCCCTTAACGGCTTAGGGTTTAGGGTTTTTCGGAGACCCCCCATATCTAGGTTTGATTTTGTCGAGATGGAAGCAGGCATCATGCCTTCGCATGGCCATTCAGCAACTGCGTCACTGCGATGTGATCCCACTTCTCAGCCTCGCGATCTCCGGATCCCACTTTTGGGGTGTAGGTTTAGGTTTGGGAGTTCGTAACGTTTTGAAAAGGGTTATGGGGCCCAGAACACTAAGGAATAAAATTGAGAATTACTGAAGCTACTATTTTCGTGATCACCAAAATTCTGAACTCCAAACTCAACCCCAGCATCGCAGACCTCTGCGTGTAACCCCGGACCCGTAACTTTCAAGAACCTTGAGGTCTACAGGGTTGAACAAAGGATGACTGCCTTAGGACTTTGCCGGAGGGCTTGTCATGTGTAAACCCTATAGGGTTTAGGGCTTTAGGCTTTAAGACTAAATTTGCCTAAACACCACGGCTGCGATTCGGGAAATTCTTGAACTAGCAAAACGATTCCTGTTGGTATAATGTAGTCAACAGGCTTCCAACATGCTTGCTAAGTGTCGAACGACATGTGTAATATAGGGGCCTTAATAATTAGAATTGGGCTTGGTGGGTATATTATATATTATATGTATAACAAGGAACCCCCAAACCCTATTCTAATTATTAAGCCCCCTACACCTCAAAATTATCCTTAAAACTCAAAACCCGAAGCTCAACCCTCAACCCTAAACACTAAAAAACTACAACCCGACCGCCCTACCACCCAAAACCCTTGTGTACTAAAGCAAAGAACAGATAACCAGAAATAGACATAATATATGTATATATATATATATACATATATATATATATATATGTATGCATGCGTTACAGTTGTACATATATGGATACGTAGGTTTCGTTATTGATACCTAGGCTTCATTTATCATATTCGTACGACTAGGACTGCTGTTGCTCTGATTGCAACGAGCAACATAAATATGGCTATATGACAACGATGATGGTTATGACTCTTTAATACATATATATATATATACATAGGGACCTTAATAGCTGGAACAGGGTTTGGGGGGTTCCTTATTATTATTATGATATAAATAGACCACAAACCCTACTCTAATTATGAAGGCCCCTATACTAACTTTGAAATGTTATTACCGGCATCTTTGTTGAGGCTTAAGACTCGACCTGTAATGCTCAGAGGTTAGGCTGTAACATGAAAGCCTGGAAATGTCTACTACTGTGGATGATACAAATCCTGCATTACCTTAAGGACCCTAAACTATGGGGATTATGGTATATTCCTTATTATGGGTCATGCAGGAATTATATCATCAACCGTAGAGTCTGCGGGTTTTCTTCGAGGTTATGGGACGATAAATCATAGGCCTTGGTTACACCCACAGGAGCAGCCTCAGGGTTCAGGACTTTGGAGTTTTCGGTTTTGGGGTTGAAGGGTTTAGGGTTTATAGTTTATAGGGCAACGGGTTTAGGATTCAGGGCCGAATAATATGGGGGCCTTATAATAATCAGAACAGGGTTTGGGGTATATTATACTATAGTTATAAATTATAATAAGGAGCAGCCCCAGTTCTAATTATTAAGGCCTACATTCGGGTTTAAATCCTGGCCTCTGTAGCCAGGGCTTCAGAGGCGGCCGTTGCCACGGCTTCGAGAAGCGGGCCCTCCTAGCGCGAGCTGCTCCGCATTTGGCCCGCCCTATGTGGGCCCTGATGCCCGGAACCCCTAAACCCTAAACCCCTAACCCTAAACCCTCCCCCTATAAACCATAAACCCTAAACCCTTAACACTTATAAACCCTACACCCTGAAGCCTAAAGCCTGAAAAAAATGGACCTGACGCCGCCTCATAAGCCCTAATCCCTACATAGGTTTAGGGTTCAGGGTTTGGGGTTTGAGGGCTCCTACAGGGGTTCAGGCTTTCGAGGTCGGGGTTTGCGGCTCAGTGCTTCATAAGCAAAGGCTGTCGCCGCTTAATGTAGGGGCCTAAATAATTACCAATACTATTTTGCAGGGTTCCTGATTATAAGTAATAAAGGACCCCAAAACTCTATTCTAAGCAATAAGGCCCCTATATTACACCCCGAATCACAGACAAGAAAAGGAGCCCTGCACCAGGAAGCCGAACTCCAAGTGGGTCGGAACCATCACCAATGCTATCTCATAGGGGTCCTTTAGGGGTCCATTATACAACTTACAACATAATTGCTTAAATACCCTATTCTACCACACTAAGGTCCCGATATCCCAAGGTTAAGGGTTTAGGAAAAGATATAGGGTTTAGGGTCTGGAAGTTTTAGTCCCAGAGTGTTGCTGAATGAAGTGCCTACACATATCCGCGGCGCCTTAGTGCTCGAAGGGAACACATAGCTAATCATAATTTTCGTACGAACCCGAAAACAAATCGACACACCAAATACTGTTACAAATTCTATTGGAGTATTTTGGTTCTGACTAGAGCAGGCTAGAGGCCTTAGCCAACTATTCAACCCGCTGTGGTCTAACAGTGCCGCTGTACTGCAGTTTTTTGTAAGTAACTTGTTCGGCTTAGAAACCAGAAACCAGATCCTGTGCTCAACAATCCTAGAAGGCCGGGAACTGTAGGTCTAAAAGAGGCCGTGGATGATTAGGCTCTGCTCCGGCGTGTGCTTGCGGGCCTGCGTGTGTGTGTGTGTGCGCATGTTTACTATAGAGAACACAACAGAGCATACTACACCCTTAACTCTTGTCATCTGCAGACCAGCAGACCTTCTCGCATATATCGAAAATCATAAAACGCAAAGCCCTGAAAGCCCCTGCAGCCGAAACATGAATCCTCAAGCCGCACCACCCTGCCCCACCCCACGTATACAAAGCCACTGCAAAAGCAAACCTTATTATAAAGTCAAAAGCCAACACTGCCACTGCTGCGAGAGGTGCGACGTAGTTAAGCACTGGCCAAGCACTCCCTGCAACCACCCTACAGTGCATTTCCGGAAAGCTGCTAAAATCGGTTTAGGAGGTAATCTTTAACCCAACACCTTCATAGCTCAAATCGGGTCTCCAGGAAGCTCATCCGGGCGTAGGCGTTGGAGACCATGCCCATAGACTGGGGTGGTAGCTGCCTCGGCGTAGCTTTCATACATCTTCTAGCACCCGTGTATCCTGGCACTGTCTTGGAAACACTGATGCGTGCATGTTCATCTAAACAATGTATGGGCATCTACACCCAAATCTTTATGTACATACATATGAAGGAAACATACATACATACATACATACATACATACATACATACATACATACATACACACATACATACGTACATACATACATACATACATACATACATACATACATATGTAATATAATATATATATATATATATATATATATGTATGTATATATACATGTGCGTACGCATGTAAAATCTATAGCATACTATGTTCTCCTATGTGTATGTATGCATGATTGCCTGCATGTCTTTATGCATGTACGTATGTTTTTGTGTATGTGTGTGTGTATGTATGCATGTATGTACAGATATGTCTTTATCTACATCTGTATGTGTGTATATGCAGGTACGCAAGTATGCGTGCATGCATGAATGTATGCATGTGTGTATGTGTGTATATGAATGTATGTATATGTATATGTATATGTATATGTAGATGTACGTATATGTATGTATATGTATGCATATGTATGTATATGAATGATTCAGTGAATGAATGAAAGAATGTATGTATATACGTATGTTTTGCATGCATAAACATATTACGTATCAACAACATGTATGTACATAGACACATTTGTGTGTGCATGTATGCATATAGGCACACATATGTATATGTACATATATACATACATACACATACATATATATATATAGATATATGCGCACGTCTGTACACACAATGTACTGTGTGTCTGTGCGGCTATAGATGTGTATATGTACGTTTATATGAATATGTGTATATATATATATATACATATACGTATATATATATATATATATATGTGTGTGTGTGTGTGTATGTATATGTGATATATGTACAGTGCGCACCGCACGCACACACTTTGTACTCTTTACAAATGAAGTTTTTAACTTAGTCTGCTTCGAGGGCTGGGCTCGGGCGGCTCGAGTGCGCACACACACACACACACGCACAGTCCAGTAAGTATAGAACCTGATCCGTGTACAGTTTAGGTGCGCGAGGCCTATAGCAGTGGAAAATGCCATATCAGAACGGGACAGGAGCATCACCATCCGAAGGTTGTCACATTACAAGTCTAGGAGTCTAGGGTTTATTGTGGGAAATTTCCCAACAAATCTCTGGGCTCTGCGCCGTACTTTGGCCATGACCTCAGCTTGCGCTGTGTAGTTCGAAATGATGATGAGGTCGACATCTGTTGCAGCTGTTGAGGATTAGAGGTTGAGGGTTTGGATGCCAGACGTTAAACCCAAACCACTGCCGCTCTGCGTTCTCGACGGAAATCCTAAACTAGCAGAAAGGGCTGTCGCACTGTCGGCGGTTGACCGTCGTAAAAGTCATGAGCAGACGTGAACGGACGCAACCGACAAACTTAATGTAGGGGCCTTAATAATTTGAATAAGGCTTTGGGGATTCCGTATTCTAACTATATTATAATATACCCCCAAAAAACTCTTCTATTAACGAAGGCCCGTATATTAGCCCTCTACTCCGAATTTCCCACCCCATCCAGTGATATCCAAGCCATTTACATCCTAAACTTCACCCTAAACCCAAAACGCAACACCCTAAATTCACACCACAGCCTCTGAATCCTAGACCCCCAAAACCCAAAACACCTAAACCAAACTATCTAGCTATGAAAGCGGAAGCAGCAACAGAAAGAGTGATTAGCCCAAGCCCGCTACCCGGCAGCATGTCGACCTTAAACATTCTAAAGCCTGCATCTTATCAAGCCCGAACCCTCCCTCAATCCGAAATCTAACAAACGGCGAGAAACCCCAAACTGGCATTATAGAGGAACTTGCTGAATTAAGAAACCCTGGATCTTTATTAGGGTTCTTAATATGGTTCAAATATGTCGGGGTACTGGCGCCAGGGTGCCTTAGACTCTAAACCTGCGACATTAACAAAAAAGTATCTAGGCCCTCGGCGAGGTCCCGAAGTGGTAACAAGACGCCCTCGTCGCGGCTTTGAAGTCGTGCGAAAGCCTCGCAGGCTTGGAGTTTAGATTTTAGGGTACACATGAGTTTCAGTCTTGCAATTTCTTGCTCTGCCGGCACTCCTGCATGTGCCTATGTGGGCTTGTGTGTGTGTGTGTGTGTCTGTGTGTGTCTGTCTGTGTGTGTGTGTGTGTGTCTGTGTCCGTGTGTGTTTGTGCTTGTACAAAGGCTGAGAGAGATAGAGAGAGAGAGAGAGATTATGATTAGGCGTGGAAAGTCTTAGGCAGCATATGTAGACAATGTCAAAGTTAGTCACAAGTCCTTTGTTGACACCCGTCTCCCCCGAAACCCAGAACTGCAAAACCTGTTCCACCCGTCCATGTCAAAGGGCTGCCTATCCGCAATTGCTTTCCGAAAGGGTTTCAGCACCTGGCTGTGTTATTTTCCCCAGCAATGTCATGCCCACCAGTGTTACTGTTTGCCAAGTTACATGTCTTGCGGCCTCGCAGTGAAATTACAAGAACATTCAAAAGCCTTCCCCCCCCCCCCC